AAGTTTTTTTTTCCTGGATTATATGCTTGAATTCACTTGTGTTCATCTTCCTTTTCATTTATTTTGATCAGCGTTGATGAGATTTTGGTGGAATGGATGGATTAGTTACATTAGTCTTTAACTTTTAGGACGGACGGAAATCAGTCAAATCTGCGACTGGCCGCTTTTGAAACGCTTATGGAACTCATCAAAAACTCTCCCAAAGATTGCTACCCAGTTGTGCAGAATACCACTGTGCTGATGTTGAAGAAACTAGAGCAACTTTTGAACATGGAGGCGACAACTACATCGAGCTCTGACAAGGCGAGAGAAGTGAAATACGGCGTTTGGTTATATGACTTTATTTCTTGCAGAACCAATTAATGGATCTTCAATCATTGCTTTGCGCGACTTTGCAATCGGTTTTGCGAAAAATGCGTTCTGAAGATGCGGCTTTAGTCGGAGAGCACGTAATGAATGGTCTTGTGCAAATTATGAATCGCACTTCCAACAACAAGGGCGGTGGTAGCGTGATGGAAGAAGCTCTTTTAGCGGTTTCTGTTTTGGCCGAAAGTACTTTACCTAGATTTACTGTTCCTACTCTGATCAACCCTATTCTCTTCTTTGCAGCGCTGAATAATGGCTTCCTCCCTTATGTTGACGCTTTGAAACCTCATCTTATGCGAGCGCTGATCAATCATGAGGAGCCTCAGGTAGCTTTAAGACTTTTCTATTAACTCTTTCTTTAACAGTTCTTTCAGGTATGTGCTGCTGCAGTGGGTTTGGTTACGGACATGTGCCGTGCTATAGAAGTGAATATTGCTCCTGCTCTTGACGACATCATGAATACGCTTGTTCAAAGCCTGCAGGTGAAGCATTTTTTATCGTATTGCTTTGGTTGGGAATCGTGGCGGCGTAGCAGGAGTTCCCAAAGCCTCGCTGCTTTTCCCCGGAGCTAGTAATTAGGTGTCCTGCGGGAACCTAACACCTTCCAAGCGCTATTGGCTCCGCCCATTTCTGCCCACAGATTGATCTGAGTAGAGCCAGGAGACGGATGTGCGAACTCAAGTGCAAAAAAAGAAAAGGTGAGAAAGGGAATTCTTGTAATTCTCTAAATGTGTCTTTATGAAATCCTCTTAACTCCTTGACCTGAACATCATTATGTTGGTAAATTTTTTGATATCTAGACTTGCCACATTCTCCCACAACGCTATTTCATATGAATCGCACTCAACGTTAGATCACTATTCAGCGTCTTACAGATGGCACATTGTACGTTCTTGGAGATAACAAGTTCTAGCCATATCAAATCGTTTTTTCTTTCAC